ACAATGAAGATCATATATAAAATATGTTAAAGGATAAGTGATTTCACATTTAGTTATATAATCTTGGTTTCATTGATGATATGACAAAGTGTTGGTAGAATAAACAAGAAGTCAAGCTATAGCGACCATCGCTACGCTTATTTGCTTCAAAACGACGACGCAAGAATGTGAGCTAAGAATGATCCAAAGGCACACCACCTGTTCAAACATCACCTCAGAAAATAGACTCATACAAACACATACAAATAACACATAAAACATTCATATGGACTGCAGAACCGTTTCCCCAAAACAGCAACCAAACGCTTAATTGACAACAGCAGCCTATCTTCACATTATCACTATGGATAAACTACTCATACAAAAATTACAAAACTGTGTCAGAATATACAAAACAACATGATCTATAACTTTCATATTATATCTTTAGGATTTTAAGGACTATAAGATACCCAAAACAAGCCACCATCTAACTAAACTTTTCTGACAATAGAAAACCAACAGCTGAATCAAACATGCATAACTGAAGATATAATGATCCAAAAATTATGATCTTTACAAATCTAGAAATCTTCAGAAATTTTCTACAACTTTCATGTACATCACTTCACGAAATTCAGAACTTAAGATATCTTAAAATGGAATGCATCTACTGTTGTCCAAAATTTTGACAACACAACTACATCAACAAACAACAGCAATATCTCCCAAAACACCTTGGATGTTTAAGGTGGGTTAGACCAATATATAAGGCTTCTGGAATCTATCCCACTATCCTCGAGTTAATCCTTTTACGCGAAGCGAGGACGAAAGCGTAAGTGAGATGGTGGTAGGTGTGGTCCACTCGGTGTAAGGTTTATAGAGTTCATCCCACCATCCCGGGTTAATCCTTTCACGTGAAGTGAGGACAAAAGCGTAAGTGAGATGGTGGTAGGTGTGGTCTACTCAGCGTGCAGAGTGGATCTAAGCCGTTTGGATTCGGGGGTGTTACACCTATAAAGGTGATCTCTACGCCATCATATAATTTTTTTTATGATTTTTAGATTCATAAAATCAACCCTAAGCAACACCAAGCCCACGGCTACGCAATCTAAAAAACTATAGGGCCTAATTTTGAGATTATAACCCTAACCCCATTAACTAATCGACCGAATACGGTAAACCCTAGCACGGATTTCACATCAAAACAGTGGGGAAACAAAGATCTTATACCCCAACAGCAACTGTGACGATGATACACAATGATTGATCTCCCATTTTCCACTTCTTCCTTGTTGTGATCCCCACTGTTACTCCTCTCGTCGTCTCAATCTAGTCCACCCCACCATCAAGAAAAACGAAGGGAAGCATGGAATTGAGGGGAAACAAGAAGCATGGAATTGAGGGGGAACAAGAAGAGAAGAAGATGACCAACCAATTTATAAGGAGAAAGGCATATTAGCCATGAACGAGGATCAAGCTCTAACTCTATCCCTCTCCTCTCTTCTCTATCCTTCAGTATTCTCTTGTTTTCCTCCGATGAGTGAGAGAAGCGGTGGCTCAATAGATGAAGGGGATTAGGTTGTGTGTGGAGTGATGAGAAAAGGATGGTCAGGTAGCGTAGCGGCGCTACAGTACCGTGCTCCTGTTCATATTGTTTTTTTCCTTTCAATCTTCCAATGACCATAGCTTGTTGAGCTGAACTCCAAATAACGCGAATGAGTAGTGAAATGGAAAGCATCCGGCGAGCTCTATACATCTATGATATTTGATCGTCTATCCGAGCTACGTATAAAAAATTATTTTTACCACTCATTAAAACTCCTGTTGAACCTTTGCCACTTTACGCTTTCTAACACACAAAACGTATTCTGGGTATTACACTAGAGCACTTGTTACAAGTGTAGATCTAGTAAATAAACTTGGAATAAATACATAACTCAATTAAATAAAGCAACCAGAGATAACATAGTAATATTTTGGGTGTTGCTAGAAGACAAGCTACACCTGCCTGAGGTACAGGGTAGACGAAGCACTAATAGGCCGTCTCCTCAACTCTTGCCTGTCCTCTCTCATGGATATTTTCTGTACTACGACTAAATGAAGCACCAATAGGCCAGCTCCTCCTCAATTAATTCTTGCCTCACCTCTCTCCTAGATATCTATATCTTATATATCTATATCTATATATACTATATAGTTCATACCCACTAAGCATTTACTCCTTTCAAATCTTGCTCCACGTTAAGCCACGTCATCTAGACTTGCAGCCGTTAGATCAACATTAATTCCTTCATCTGACCGTCCAACTGTCGCCTGCGGCTGCCAACTCTTTGGCTCCCCTCATCAGTCACCAACACATCGCATGGCCTTTTAGTAACTGAGAAGAAGGGCAGCTGAGCAGTCAATTTATGTAATATTTCAAAACAGATGCGTTGAAGAACAATTAATACCAAATTGGGTACCTGATCAATCACATAGGTATTTCAAAAAAAATGCGTTAAAGAACAAATAATACCAAATTGGGTACCTGACCAATCACATAGGAACAATGTCGTGATTTGTGGAAGCATACATCTGAGCATTCAGATATGTCAAATTTGGTGTTGATGCAAACAAAGACAAAGCTATCTATCAGGCCTAATACCTTATTTATCCCTGAAGGAATGCTGGTCAAGTTATACACAGAGGCCTTCGTAAGTTCCGTATTTATGCAAAAAAAAAATCTGTTCCGTATATAAAATACCTTATAGGGGCAACAACTACTAATTCTACCATATTACAATATTTTATACCCCATAAATCTTGGCAATTTATCTCAGTTTAGTTATTTGTAACTACACCAAGTGATTTTTTTTTTTTTTTTTTTTTTTTGCGAATGACATCAAGTGATCTCTGATACCCAACTTCATGTATTGGCACTACTATTTTTAATATGGCTCCACCCGATGCTACTTTTAAATATATATTCTGTTTTGTGTGTACTCATGTGATGCGTACTTCCATAAATAATACCTTGCTTCTTACCCTACTTATACCATATTAAATTAAATGGTATAAAAACATAGCTATGCCACTTATTAATACCAACAATACCAGTTGACTAAAGTGTTTTCGATTGTCATCTTACTCACAACACGTTAATATAAGCATGCTCTCCAACAAAATACTAAGCTACATCATTGATATTCAGCTTCATCGGTCATTATTCAACTGAAAATTCCCGCAGCAACGTGTGAGGAATTCAACTAGTTTTCTATACTATAATTGGATGAAAACCATCCAAAGGGACACTACTAAAAGAGTGGAAGAATTCAAGCTCCAAGCGTGTGTTTACATGTGAGGGGTGCTCCTTTGTTTATAGTGGGAGGTTACTTGGAAGAGTCGAGATGGTAGGCCATCCAATCCACGTGAAACTTCATCCTAGCCCTTTGATCAAACCGACTTGACTGAGTACTAGCATATATGCACTCCATAGTTTGGTAAGTAACTCCCATAGAAAGTTGGACCTCCTCCTTGTTCATCAGCCGTCCATCTTTCACGTGCTCCTCATCTATGGTGTGGAGATGCTCGCCACAAAGTGGTTCGTTGAAGTTGTGTTTCTTTGCATGCAATGGTGGGCCCTTCAATCCTTATATGGCTTCATGGTGACCCTCGGTTACAACCAACATTGAATTGAATCAATATATACCACAACACTTCATGGTTTGCATGTGGATGGAGTGGACTATGTGTGGGCCAGTTGACAGGTTGGGTGACCTTGGGAGAGGTCGGCTGACCATCTCTTTGGACCATTTGATTGAACTCAATTTTCCTTGGGCTCTATGATGAGTAAAGAAGCTTTAGACCAAATTTGAGGATCATTGAGCTTGGTGCTGGGTCGTCTGACCTATGTTATGCTCTGCTGACCCTTCTCTCTCCTATTTCAACTTGACCCGTGTCGTGATCTTCCGTAAAGCGTAACTTTTGCGTTTGAACTCCTAATTTGGTAAAACAAAAGTCCATTTCATTCATCCCTATGAGCTCTTCGACATGGTGGGGTCAAATATGTGATTTGATCATGTATTTAGTCATGTTGAAATGTCCAGGTGAGCCCTTGTTTGAGTATCCTTGATCCTTTGGTTTAAGGGCTTTGTGGTTGTTCATACACTATGCATGGTATTTGTGCACCAAATCATCTATGTTCCTTGCAAAACATGTTGGGACACAATACTTGTGGAACTCGTTAGATTTAAGCCCTGTAGCTAAGGTGTTAAGTAAGATTTGAAGGTGGTCATTTTTATTATCAAGCCCTATAGCTAAGGTGTTGCTTAAGATATGAACATTGCCATTTTTATTATCTTTTGGCTGTCGGATTATTTGAGTTAAGGACCGCAAATAAGAATTCTCTCAAAAATAAACCACACAAATGCACACATGCATACCATAATCTGTGCAAACATGTTCCACATCATTGAACTCTATTTGGTTTTAATATAATTAGTTTGGTTCTGCCAAATTAAGGTACACTTTGTTGGCTCAAAAAACAAAAAAGCATACTGTTGGATGGAAACTGAAATGCACGCATGATACCACAGACTACAAAGCTAATTTGGAGTTTGGACTGCACTCTTTCCAAATTCTTATGCACACTTTGATATTTTTGGTCCGATGCAACGATACTTGCACACATGCACGAGCATGACCAAATTGTTGTGAAATATGCCGCTAGCAACTAGGACTTTTTCCTCTCCGTGTCTCACGATCAATATAGTGGACACAAGTAGACGGACGCAAATGCATAAAGTAGGAAAACCATTCATTATTCTCTGAATATTCATAATTACAATGTCAAGTATATATAGACCGAACAAAGCCCAAGAGTTTGGTATGAGTCCACGTAAAGAATGGACTAGAATTGGGATTCATCCTCCTTTCCTTCCTGGTTGGAGTCCATATGTGTTACAACACCAAATATACATATTTATATAATCGCAAGGGATCATCCATGCAATTGACATAATATTATTTATATTAACAGATCACAAGGTGACATGATTTCTAGTGGGTTTTGCATGCCTCAGGCAGAAAGACTTGAGCCTCTCCATCACATCCTCCAACAGAGGAGGATCTACCGCGAAGGTTACACGGAGCCAGTTCTTCATCCCAAGCCCACTGCCTGCATTACACCCATAAAACTCTATGAATTAAGAATTTAAGCAGTGGTTCAATAATCTATTGTTTGTTAGTTAATAAAAGATACCCAATTTCAGTCCAAGCCCAGATGGTTTCCTGGTTGAGTTTTATCAAAAGTTTTGGGAAGTCATTAAAAGTAACCTACTACATATGTTTCAAAATTTTCATAAAAGGGATTCACCATTGTTTATTTTAAACATTGGTGTTATCACCCTCATTCCAAACGTGCTAGAAGAAAATTGAATACATCAGTATAGACGCATTTATTTGCTTAATGTTAGTTTTAAATCTTTACCAAAGCGGATACTAACCGCATTAATTTGGTGGCTGATGATCGCATAATAAGCCCAACTCAATCGGCTTTCAGGAGAGGACGCAACATCTATGAAGGGGTTGTTATCCTACATGAGAAATACATGAAGTCCACTGAAAGAAACTAAACGTGATCATTTTCAAAACAAATTTTAAGAAAGCCTATGATAAGGTTAGATGACCTTTTTGCTACAAATTTTGCGTAAGATCCTTGGTCCAAATGGATCAAATGGATTGAAACCTTTGTCCTTTATGGGAGTAGCAAATAGTGTAAATGATGAGATTGGACACTTTTTCCAAATAAAGAAAGGCCTTTGTCAAGAGGACTCATTATCTCCTTTTTCCAGATCATTGTTGCTGACATGTTAACAATCTTCACTAATAGAGCCAAAGAAGAAGGGCAGTTAAGTGGAGTGATGCCACATCTGGTGCATGGTGGTTTATTAGTTCTGCAATACACCAATAACACAATAGCCCTTATGGAAAATGATCTAGAGCAAGCCTAAAACATGAAACTATTACTTAATGCTTTTTAGGTCTTAAACTAAATTTTCATAAAAGTGAACTGCATTTATTTAGTGAGGCCCAAGAAGTAGAGGACCAATATACTGAGCTTTGTGGAAGTAAATCCAGAGCATTTTCCTATGAGACACATATAGGGATTAAGATTCATTTTAGGAAGATGAGAGATGGAAATTGGCAAAGGTGGAGGAACATTCTGAAAACAGGTTAAATAGATGGAAAGGGGAACATCTGTTAATAGGAGGATGTCGAACAATGATAAACTCAATGCTGAGTAGTATACAATTAACGATATATTACTTCAATTACAAGAGGTGTGCTGAAGCAATTAGACTACATTTTCTCTAGATTTCTAAAGTGACAACCAAAAGAGCAAGTATCGCCTTCCCTATAGAATATACTTTGACATCCAAAAGATTAGGGGTTAGAAATTCATGAAATGGATATTAAAAACGTTGCAATTCTTTGTAAATAGCTACTTACAAGTTACAACATATGGGACAGGTAGCAAATAATTTTGGAACAAGTATTTGGGTTCTAAGACTTCATTTCAAGCTTAATGAAAAAATCAGGACACATTTTTGGGATAGTCTTATGAAGGTGGAAGAATTTTTTCTCTGTTTTGGATCCTTCTCAATAAAAGATGGATCCCTTCTGAGATTCTACGAAGATAAGGGGTTGGGAAACTCAACTTTGAAGGAAACATATACTTACTAATACAAAATCGTTAGACATAAAATACTATAGCCGAGGTCTTTAATTAGTACATCTCATCACCTCTAAACATTTTGTGGAGACATGATTTAATTGGACTTAAATTACTAGCCTGAAATGAACTTCTTCGCATTGCTAACATCAGGCTTACACAAGATCATAATGAGTTTCACTGGAACTTAGAACCAAAGAGTAAGTTCTCCAGTGAAATTATATTATTGAGGTCGGTTCGAGAAAATTATATTACTGTGTGGTCTGATTCGCGTATAGGTTCCCAATTTAAACAAAAGTCATTTTGAAGTGGATTCATAATTATCGTATCAAACTGATGTAATGATTATAAAGTAATAAAATGTTTCCTTTATAAAAAATGTTCTATGAACGGTATGACATGCCCCCTCAAAACCCACATTATGACTTCTATAAGACCATAGCTAATGCGTCAACCTCAATTACAATTTTTACCATCATATCCTATATATTATATAATTAAAACAATTTTTGATTTGTTAGAATTATGTTTAAAAAGTGTTGGCTACAGGTCTGTGAATATATCTTAGGAGAAGACATGTCTCCATCACCTTAAAATTTATGAACTTCTCGAATTTCCATAGATGTATGGATTTTGCTCCAAAACCCCACGATAATCAGATACTACTTAATGACAGTTTGTTTTACCTGGGCAGATCACAACACACTCCTCTTTGGCCAACTTGGTGCAGAAGTCAATATCGTCGTCGATGCCATCGAAATATGAGATATCCAGTTCTACCTGTTGAAATTTCAAGCAACATATCATCATATACACTAACAAATAAACACCAATCGTTGTCATCAATATCTTTTTTTTTTCACGAACTACACAGGAGATCTGTGTGTCATTGCATTAAGACAGGAATACAAGACGAGCTGGATTTAGAAAGAAACCTAACTCATTGAACAAAACAACACCACACCCACCCACCCTAACCAAATAAGAAAGGGTGGGGTTGATTCTATACAAGATGAGGACCTGAACAACAAAACTACCCTAGAAGTTATGCAAACTGGACCAAAGACCTTGCAAGCAAATCACTAAGTTTTGATGCTCCAGCCATGCATCGTAAACTGCACTCATCTCCTATGATTTGCACGAGTGTATGGATACTAGGAAAGGCTCCTTCAAACACACAAGAATTGTAGTGCTTCCAAACTTCCCTATACAAGTGTTGTCATCTATATCACTGTCCGTTTCTTTATAACTGTCAGGATGAAGTGTCACTGCCGGATCTATCATCATTGCTGGGTTTGAAAAGATCTATTAGTGGTAATGTATTATCACTGTTGGTTCTAATTATAATCAACTAATGCTATTAAAACGTCGGTTTGTAGTTTGAACCGGTAGTAAGTTTGTTTCAATTGAATATTTAAGTGGACCTCATGTCCACTTCTCCCCTCCATCCCTAGTACTTCATCCTGCCAAAAGGGCCTCTAGTCCAACTGGTTAGAGCGTCCCAGCGGCACTCCTCAGGTCCTGGGTTCGACTCCGCGTGGGAGCGAATTTCAGGCTGGGGTTAAAAATATCCCCTCGTCTGTCCCACGCCAAAGCACAGGTCTAAGGAACGGCCCTGTTCTCACAGGGGTACGGTGCCGCTGTGTATGGGTGGGGCAGGAGTTCGGGGGTTTTCTGAACCTGCGTGAGAAGGTTCTTCTTCTTAATGCAATGCCCGGGGGTGGCTTTTCCCCCGCAGGTCCAGTACTTCATCCTCTCCCTCTCTCCCTTTGTATCTCTCTGCCGCTTTCCTCTCCCTTCCTAGTCCTCTGCCCCCTCCTTCCGCATCTCTAGCTCCATCAATCCTCCTCCTCCCCTCCATGACTTCGTCAGGCTCCAAGGTAATGGCAGCGAAGAATATGGCTGCCTCACTACTGCAGGGAGGCACCACATGCTGCTCGATATCATCTGACACGGTCAACGACTGTCCTCCCACCATTGCCTTTGAGTTAGGTGGAACGGCAACTGCATCTGACAAACAGCTGCCATGTATTTATTTTTTATTCTGTGAAAAAAAGGCAAGAACTACTGGGTGGAAAAACAGCAGTGATAGCTCAATGCTACCATTGCCAATTTCAAAACCAGCAATGGAAAAGGCTCTAGAACCAGCAGTAATGGTCAATCCTGTAGCAGTGATATATCATGCTATGGAGCAAATGTAGACTGATAGACACTAAAAATGGAGTATGGAGTTTCAAGTGATTGCAAACCATGACAAACATGGATCCCTCTGGCTTGTGAGGACAAGTGATGCACTCCATGCACTTTAGCTTCTGGTAGCATATCTCTGCGGCCTCTCTCATCATGTTCATAGCATTTGTGAAGAAAACATCATCCGTGTTTGCAATGATTTGGGGTATAGCTCCTTGCTCACAATAATATGGCGTCAGTTACAAGTAATTAATGGATGTTAACCATCAGGGTAGCAGCAAGCCAGCTACTCAAGTGGGAAATTAAATGCATGGACTTCACAAAGAATCCTGAGTACTAACCTGAATAATTGCTGCTGGATCTACTGAGATGCTACGGTATATAATGATGGACTCAAGAATCTATATATTGGAGAAACAAGCTCATCGCTAAGTAGATATGGTAGAACACACAGATAAAAGGAAGAAAAAGAAGTCAATGTATCACCAAGGAATGGAATACCTTCTTCTTCCTGAGGATTCCCTTTGGATCAGTCATTGCGATCCAACCAAGCCGCCAACCAGGCACCCTCCACCTCTTGGATATGCCGCCCAGCGTTACCACAGGAGCTATCTCACCAAACACACCCATGGGCACAAAAGGCTTGCTTCCAAATGTGCAATGCTCGTAAATTTCGTCACAGATTACCATTATCCCGAGCTTTCTTGCTGTCTCTGCAATCTAGAGAGTTGAAATTGTGATCACTGGGTTAAGGAATGCGATGTGTTATATGTATAAGATTTCCTACGGTGGTAGCCCACAAAGTGAATGATCCTTCATTCGTCGTCAAATTTCGACAAAAAAAAAATCGATATTCATTTGTCAATAAACATGTAAAACAAGATAGTGTGTGCAGACCACGTACGCCTTAATGCCAAACTATAAGCACTATGATCATCACATACTCTGTACTTAAAATGCGTTAGATGCTAACCTTGGTCAGGTGCTCATAGGAGTAGACGGACCCACAAGGGTTACCCAGGTTGACCATAGCAATGGCGACGGTGTTCTCATCAGCAAGGGCCTCCACACCTTCAATGTCAACCTCCCATCCTTCGTCCGGAAGAAGATTGTAGTGCCTGAACTCGAGCCCACCCAAGGCTGCGCGTGCTTCGTACATTGGGTATCCTGGCCTTGGCAGCAATACATTTGCGCCCGGCATGGCAAGGACAGCCATCATGATCTCGATGGCATGGTTGCAGCCCGCAGTAAGGACAATGTCGCCTGTCGACAGCTCGTAGGGGAGGTATCGAGATAGGTATGCAGCCACAGCGCTTAATGTGTTCACCAGAAATTTATTGAAAGGACGTCAATTTGCAGAAAGCTTTCAGAACTCATAGGCAGACATACATACATATATATACTCTCTGCTGTGCAGATTTTCGATAGGCAACTGAAGCCAACGAGGGTTACATTTGACTTTTTAAGATCTTTAATTTCGTTACAACATGGTGAAATTTCAACTAGTATAGGATCAAGGAACCTTTGAACTTGATTTTTAACTTTAATTTGGACTCCATTTTGACACTTGGACAAACTTCGTACAGATACTGAGAATTTCCGAACCCCCGAAGTCCACTGTTAAAAAATTGAGAAACCTTTATCTTGAATGATGCACAAATAATAATTTAAAGCGTCAAATCAAAGAGAAATTTGTGGTGGGTTAACATTTCACGAGCTCTATATAATCTTGATCTATCAGTTGAATTAGTACCGAGAAAGAAATGCTGACAAACTTCTAGCTAACCAACTAAATAAACTAACAACCAGTTGTCATATGGGGACAAAAAGCTTGCGTGAGCATAGTGCATAGATGCTCCGCACATGTGTCATGTGAGAACCAGAAGGCTGGTAATCAGGGGCGGATCCAGGGCCCGGGCTGCCTGGCTGTGCCCGGGCGAGTCCAGAGCCCCTTTAACATAAAGTGGTAATTAGTCAAAAAACTAGTGGTTGCAGGAATCAGCAGCAGCACAACTGGATCGCCCTGCTGGTAATCAGTCAGACTCACAGTGGTTGCAGGATCAGCAGCACAACTGGATCGAACACTAATTAAACTACTGGGCCTTCTGATCTCAAGTGTCTTACATGTGCCTTCTGACCTTGCATTGGCTTCTCCACACAAGAAAGACATTGAGCACCGATATTCCACTCCCCAAAATTTTAGTTTTATTTTATTTTAACATGGTGCTGCAGTTTTTTTTAAGTCATCTTGTTTATTTATTAAGATTTCCAATCTCTTAGTCAGTCCTTGGACACACATCAAAGATTCTAAAACTAAAAAATTGATCGTAAAGAAAGTAGCTATGGCCAAGCATTGGAGAATTACTGGGCAAGGATCTTGAAATTAACCATTATGTACGGTCATCTCTGCTTGCGGCAGATTAAGATGACCAAACCATAGGACGAGTAATTGTTAGCACCTATGATGTAGTAACAATTACACGTCATCAAATTGTGACCCTAAGGGTAGTGTCAAATTCTTAAGCTTGAATACGATGTTAGTAGATACGTAGTACACATTTGATTGTTGGAGAATATTTTTAGTGTCAGGTGAAACTCTTCATGTAACTATTCTATAAATGTAGAAAAGCAGGAAATAGCCAGAACGTAGGAATCATTCCTTGACAAAAAATAAAAGGAACACAAGAATCTCTAAAAAAATCAAATCAAATATATCGACATCATATATAGCAAACTAGGGTTCAAACTATAGCCAAAGTTTTTGACAAACTGAAGTTTTTTTTGGGTCAGGACTGATGAAGAAAACCATAAAAGAATTCTCTATTTTCTTTTTAAGGGCGCTTCATTACTTCACACTCAATGTATGAATAGATTTAATCATGATAAGTACTCCCTCTATTCTCTCTTTTTCTTATCGCGTACAACTTGGACGCATACAACCTCTAACACACTCCACAATCATCACACCACACGCGCGCACAGCAAAGAAGAGATTGGGAGGCTCTCTAGCCTCGCAGTGCGCCGGAAACACGGAGAGTGCAATAACCAGGGTTTGAACCCGGGTGGGTAGCGTCTGGACAGCCCTATCATTGGACCACGAACCCTTTCGCAATACCACTTGCATTCTAAATTATGAGACGTTTCTAACTTTGGAACGACAAGACAAGTTCAACTGTGGAGCGAGAAGAGATTAATCTAGACACCGGTGACTATTGAGGGAGCAAATGACAGCGGCCGGTGCGGCGACAGAGGAGATAAGAGAGGATCGCGGGGGCCGGTAGATCGAGACAAGTTTGCTGCATGTACCTGCATGCCTCGGTGAGGCCGGCGGCGGTGGGGTAACTAATGTACTTTCCAGAGGTGGCGGCAGCGGCGACGGCCTCTTCAGCCGCGACGGCTGCGCGGAAGCACGAGAACGGCGAGGGGTCACCGTGCCCGAGCGGCGCAAGCGGCCTCGGGTCGTTCCGGTCCACGCAGCCATAAAGCCGATGAACCAGCGCACGGATGCTCAGCGCGCTGGCCGCCTCCAGCGATGGCCGCCCCGAAGCGCCAAGCCACCTCGCCGCCGCCGTTGTCCTCCATTGGCGCGCAGGGGCAAGAGTGCGGGTGCCTGCGCGTACAGCGGCGCGGCGTAATCCACTCGTTGGCCAGGCGCCGTTGCCCAGCCCAGCGCACTTATGTACATATTCATAGGGTATGTTTGGTTGGTCGGTTTCTTGGGGCTGGCAGCCCAGCCCATGACCCTAAATTTTTTGGTCACGTCATTCCGCTCACCTTTTGTCTGATTTTTATCGTTTGCCCACTCTGACATATGGGTCTAGCCAGTAAAAATGTCCAAAATACTCTTCTCTCATACTCTTATCCTCTTCTTTATCTATCTGATTGGTGGGACCAAGCTGTCGATGACTTTGGCATGCAGTAGGCAAAGAGGGTCGGGCCGTAGGAGCAGAGGCGCGGCGGGGTGCCCATAGCGGCCATGCGGCGGACGACGGAGAAGCCCATGGCAGGGTCGCGGGTGGCGGTGGCAAGGCGCGCGACGCTGGTGAGGGTGGACGCGGTCGCCGGAGTGGAGCTTGCCTGTGGCAGAACCGCCTAATCTAATGGCTCACAGGAGTACTTGTCTTCTATTAGACACAAAGTACTCAAGGAAAGACACTAAATTACGCAGTTCCGTCGAGCACACCCTAAGAGAGAACCCGAAAATCCACATTTTCCATCAGGATCACAAATTAGAGAATAAAGCTTACATCATTATTAACCATTTCTTACATCACTTTTCATGCAACATCAGAGTATAATATGTATTGTTATAACAGCGGAATATAATCATGTTAGTAGAGTTATGAACAATTTAATTTAACAACGGAATATAATTATGTTATCAGAGTTACAGTGAAAATAAATATCTATTCATGACATGAAGCATTGATATATAAACTTTGACAACAGATTATAAAACTATCATTTATAAAATATTTAGTGAGAGTTATAAATAAAAACTATGATCGCAGCGTAAAGGAATTATCTCTGAGCCCACCAGGAGGAATCCACACATAAGGGTCAGCTTTAGCATCCACTTGTCACCTGCAACAGTGGGAAATAAAACCCTGAGTACTCAATTATACTCAGCAAGATTTATCCGACAGGGGAAAAAATAACGACTCTAGGGGTATGCAAAGCTATCTGGCTTGTGGGTTTATTGCATCTGCAGGAAACATTACTAAGCATGCATCCTTATATTCAATTTTATTAGCAGTCAATATTAGTTTATTAACTAACAATTCTATGTAAGCACCTATGCTACTTTTCAAGCAGGTGGTATGCAATCAGAATCATTTTACTATCTTTCATCTTCCAGTTCTTACTACGGTGCTAGATTGTAGACAAGTCGTACCGGATCGCCGGTGATTCGCGAATCAATGTGTCTAGCTAGGTACCCCGAAACACACGTCCCGCTTGTACCCCAGGCACAAGCAGGACCAACCCGCCACTCTCCTATCACGGGGTCCAGGTTCCCGTCCAAACTTGGACTCCAAGCCCCCGCTCCTGAGTCCTAAACTCAGTGCAGTGGTTAGACCTCCACCATCCCCGTCTCCGATCAGTCGGTCCGGAAAGAGCCAGAACCCACGATAAGAGAGCAACAAGTCTTCCCTGCGCCCATACACAAGTATGTGTTCAAGATAATAAGTCTGTGACCTGTCCAGAACCCAATGCAACGGCCGGTCCTTAACCGACACAGGCGGAACAAATGCAATCCGAGCCTCGCTCGAATACCAAACCAAGTTCAGATCCAAAGTATCATTCCGTCCGATCTCCAATTATCAATCATATATATATATATATATATTCCAGTGATAATAATATAGTAACAACAATAATATATTTCCTATCTCTCGCGAGTGATAGGCAATCACTCGACTTCTACCAGAGTCCTGTAGCATAGCAAACTACACGATCCTGTAATACTAGTAAGACTTATATGATAAAGATATTTATATACAAGTGGGTTTCATTCAACTCCTTAAAACTTAATGCACAAACATAGTATAAGGTGTAGAAAAGTAGGGGTTATGCGTCGGGGCTTGCTTGGATAAGATATATATTAAAAAGTTAGTATCTACATCTTTAGATCATGCACCATCATCTAAATAGAAAGCCCATTGCATCATCTCCTGGAGAGAATACCATTACACCATCTTCAGATTCCCAATCATCCTTTAATTGATCCGTTAATCCATCATCGTACCTATATGATATGCATTGATGCAAATGATGCAACAGATAATTAACAAGGCAACACCAACTCTTAAAACAGAGTACATACTACGAACTAACAAGCTAGCTCTAATGACTAACGTACTAATCTACGCATCAATATCGTCGAGAAAGGTGTCATTTCCCAACAAGTGCTTTAGTTATAAAATTTCAATGCGTTTCTTTATTTTATTTATTTGATTTACTATATATTCAAACTAGGGCTCATTTAGTTACCTCAACAAACTAATCCCTATGGGGCTACAAAAATTACAGTGAATACCTAATATTGTTAGGAATCTACTGTAAAAATTTCAGATCCAACACTACCACCATTTTCTCACAAAAATTCCCACAAGTTCGCATTTTAACAATATTAAACATTTTAAAATAAATAGAGCAACACTAGAAACCTTTTAAAACTAGATGAACCAAATACGCTAATAGATAGATCGTGATTTT